GTTAACATTTATTGAATTCGTTACGATGTGTCACATGCTTTTATATATAGGGACTTTCTATACTAAAGAAATATATAGTATAGAAAGTCCCTGACTTAAGGTATGGTTCTTTGGTTTTCATGATATAATTTTTGTTTAATGTATACTGACCTATACTCCCAAATTATGGAAAAACAGCTGATAATTTTTACAAATTATACTGAACCCTGTGCGAGTTGTGAGAGTTTTCCTTACAGAACATATTTAATCATTGTACATGATGAGTTGTGACTGCGACCATCAAATCTCTGTCATGCCAAGAAATTGCCTCCGTTGAAATTCTGCAAATATCCCATAGAGCAAATTACATGGATGATTAATATTGACCATTTGGTATATGGCCGTGTTCTAAGCGACACGTAAATGAAGGTCATAAATTAATTTGTTGAATGAAATCAAATCTTTAACTACTAATGGGTGCCGTAGGAGGCAATTAATTTATATTATAAATCAGCGTTTTTAACCATTCTTATGTACCGTTTATATCACAAAATGTCTCCCTGGGACCCCCTTTTGCCCCCCTTTTTTTATACTCTCCACTTACAACTCTTAAATGAAGCTGCATGTGTGCTATCCTGTCAACGGAGACGAACAATTCCACTTTTTTCCTTTAATTAGGTCTTTCCATTTTTCCGTGGAAAGATCTATTGGTTTTGTTCTGATTATTTTTTTTTTTTCTTCCGCCAAATTTTTTTCTTGCGCTGTATTTTTGTTTCATAAGATGTTGCTTAGTTTTTTTGTATATAATATCATACACTCAAGTGCTTTTGAAACCGACTCTGTTTAACCGAACACTTTTCTGTGTAAGAGTTATCTTCCCGAACACTGTTTTTCTTGTTATGAGATCTCCTTCGCAACCGTAAAAGAAAGCGACAAATTTATTTTTCAAAATGCTCATTATATCCTCAGGATGTAACTTTTTATTTTGACCGAAGCTATCCGGAGACTCCATATGAGAGTTATTCCCCCTTATGCATTTGATTTAAGTGATATGCATTTCCAACTGGTAAACCATAAGTGATAAAGACCTAAGGTCTATTGATTTGAGGTCCTTGATCCAAAAAAAAAGAAAATTAGGTCAAGGTCAGAGGTCAAGGTCATATTCTAAATTTAGATTTCGGCTTAATTTCACTTCTTTTCAAAAACCATATAAGATATCGACAACATATTTTCACTAAATTGTTAGTTGCGACATGTCATAACACATACTTTTTGTTGAAAAGGTACGCTGACATTAAATTGGAGTTTTCTCCCCTCTAAGATTTAAAATTATGTGTATGGTGATATAACTCATTCACCATATATAATAAAGACCTAGTGTCTTATTATTTTAGGTCCTTGATTTATGACCTTCAAATTGAGCCCAAGGTCATTGGTAAATTCGACGTTCTAGATTTTGACCTTTGCTTTTAATTCATATGTATACATGATAAAGCCATGGGACTTTATGCATTAGGTTGCAAGCCATATGACCTTGGAAAAGCCAACCGGAAGTGACCTTGTGTAAACCGGAAGTAGCTATTTTTTGTACTTGTGTAATGTAAAAGTATATAGAACCATATATTTTTGGAATCAGTGTCAGGTAAACAATCAAATAATACCGGAAGTGATATTTTTCAAACCGGAAGCAACAAATTATCTTCCTTATTTTAAAAAAAATGTCTAGAAACCATATATTTTTTAAACCGGCGTACAATAAGCTATCATTTGACGCTGAAAATAACATTTTTAGCCGAATTTTAATATTTTTGTATCAAAAAAGATCTTTTCGGGTGGAAAGACCTTCAACTGTTCTCTGAACAATTGGTTTTTAATATTGTTATTAAATCTCTTCTGAAAAAAAAAATCCACATGCATGTTATGTGATCTTCTCGAAAACTACATGTCCAATTGACCTCAAAATTTGCAGTTAGCAGGGTATACATGTATTTAATCTTCATATAACAACGTTGTGCAGCTACCGCCCAAGAATTTTCGTAGACGGAAAAGAAATTGCAATGCCGTAAAAATCGCTTGCTAACTCCGTAAATGTCAGTGAAATCCTACAATAAAATGTCTGCTCCTAGATTAAAATACAAATCTGTGTTACAAACTGGTGCTGAAAAATGGGGTGCCTATAAAGTGCGAAACGAAATAGAAACGAAAAGAAACGAAACGAAAAGAAACGAAACGAAACGAAAAGAAACAAAACGAAACGAAATCAACATAAAACAATACGAAACGAAACGAAATCAAATTACGGATCACTTTAAGTAAATTACTGAAAGCTAGTTCAAAGAGAATCACAACTACAAAATACAGTTTTCAGATTTATACACGGCCAACAGATTATTCTACAGTCAGACAAACAGAGAAAGCATGACCTGTTTAATGCAAAAAAGTATTAGTATCGACAAGATTTAGAGGTTTCTGATTAACATTATCATATTATTTTAAAGCGGCATAGTTCATAGGATTATGATGTCATCGAATCCCAAATTTATCTTGAGCACTTTAATTACACTGCAATTCTTTTATATCTTGATAAGATAACAAAAAGGAAGTTCATTTAAATTTGAACGTGATTTGAAGTTCCAACGTTCTTTTAATATCGCCTAGCTACCTCTCTCAAGAAGACAATAATTTGTCATCAAACGGATGATATCTGCTTACAAGAGTGGTCTCGGTTATGGTGCTTATATAGGAATTTGTCGTTTGGAAAATTGTTATCTGCTGCTTCTCCACTATTTTGTGGTTTTTCGTGAGGGTGAGGCAACACTGACTGGCCTCTCGGAATTACCGTTCCTACCAATCTAATTAAAATTAAATCTCCGCACTTGCTCCTCGTTGTTTATATGTCGCGCGTGGGAGCACGCGCGACATATAAACAACGAGGAGCAAGTGCGGAGATTTAATTTTAATTAGATTGCGTTCCTACAGTTGTCATCCTAGCTGTTTAATGGTACACTGGAGCATCCAAGTTTAAAACCGACTAAGGCACGGACCATTTGACTTTTTTGGGGGGAGGGGGAGTCTGGTCTTTTCATGTGGACCGGGATTTTTTTCGAACGCTACGCGGGACAGATTATTGTTTTCATTGTTCAATGTAGAAAATTTATTTGGGATTTTTTTTTCTATTGGAAAAATGTGGGCAACTAAATCGGGGCCAAGATATTTTTTCTAAAAAAGACCCCCCCCCCCCCTTTTCCCCAATAAAGTCAAATGGTCCGTGTCTAATCGTGTCTGTCTAGTATAACATATAGAGTTCATAATCAAATATTATATATTGTGTTTAAATTCCTAAACCACAGCTTGTTAACGATTACGCTGAATTTCACAGTTTTTTTCCCAATTTTAAAAGAAATTGTATCAAACTAGACAATACTATTTATAAATATAATCAGCTTAATATTCAATTTGACTGTTTTAAATTTTATTTCTATTTCGTTTCGTTTCTTTTCTTTTCGTTGGTTCCTATTTCGTTTCGTTTTATGTTGATTTCGTTTCGTTTTGTTTCTTTTCGTTTCTATTTCGTTTGGTTTCTATTTCGTTTCGTACTTTACAGGCTTTCGATGTACATTGTATGAAAATAATCGATAAACGTGTTTAAAATGTACACAGGATCAATTAAATCCAAAGCATGCACTGCTCGTGAACTGTGATCAAAACATCAATTACCTACAACAAGAATTATATATATAATGACAAAAGAAATACATTGTGTGTATTCCGTCGCTATACATGTTGTCTGTCCAACGTCTCCGCCTAAATAGAAATAAAAATGCTAAAAGTTTTCGCTATTATAAAGCCTCGTCACGTGACGCCACAACTTGCATTGCGCGAGACAAAGACGCGCGTGGGACCTGAAGTAGAACAAAAACTTTCCAAACTAAATATAAAAACTTAACCATGCCAATAAATTGCCTACGTTGAAATTCTGCAAATATGGGATGTAGAGCAAATTACATGGATGATTAATATTGACCATTTGGTATTACGCCGTGTTCTAAGCGACACGTACATGAAGGTCATAAATTAATTTGTTGAATGAAATCAAATATTTAACTACTAATGGGTGCCGTAGGAGGTCTACCGGAATTTTTAGCTTAGATTTCTTGGCATGCTAATGGTTTTTTTTTCAACAATGATCTGTGGACGGTTATCCAAATACGGCGACAGCCCTCTCAATCACTTAATTCGATCAACAAATCATCAATATTACATGATATCAGAAGTCCATTACTAGGGGTCTAGTAATGGACTTCAGATGATATTGAATTTCATTTACCACAATGGTTTGTAGTTGAACTTTTTATGTAGCTTTACTCACAGGCGCTTGGGGAATGGACCCTTTTTTCCAGCTGAAAAATAAGAAAAGAGGGGCATCATATATAAACAACTGTTATTCTAAAATCGTTTGGTTACGAGCAAGAACACATTAGATTAGTGTCTGCAGAGACATATAATACAATTGTATTATATGTCTCTGGTGTCTGTGAACATACCCGGTAGATTAAAATATTAAAGAATATTTCCTTAAAAAAATAGATAGGGGGATCCATTCCCTAAGTTTTAATTTGTATATAGATATTGTAAATAGCTACTGCTGGATTTGAGAATGGAGGAGGAAAGGCCTAATGATTACACGAGCAAGAGTCATTATACACTCAAGAAGAGTCCGACTGCAGTCTGTATTGAAAGAAGAAGAAGAAGCGCTTGTGGTATAAATAAACGTTCAATTATATAACTTCCCAGTCCACAAGTCTCTGGGTAGCCAGATAAATTGTGCCACATCGGCTTAGGGCAGGAAGTCCGAACGATATTAAACCAATTTTAGTTCTACTTGATTGATCTGGGGCGGTAATATTCAGCTGAGGAAAAATATTGTTAGTGATATTTGTTGAGCGTCTGTTTAGTACAATGAAATTGGAGTGTTCCGAATGATCATTCCCGCGATTCTCTGCTCTTGCCTTTCACTCTCCTCTGAATCATTTTCAGGCAGGATGGCGCAGACAGATTGTGCCATGTTTGAAGAAGATGAAGTGTGCAAACGATGTGACGACAAGATCATCTATGGTATTGTTACTGAAAGTTCAGAATACATCAGCAGTGACGAGGAATACGATGATGATGAATTGTTAAGTCGTGGAACCGTTCGAATAATCTGGCACCCAGATGGCAATGAAACTGTTGAAGAAGAGAAAAAGGTGAAGGTTTAAAATAACAAGACACAAATTCATGCATAATTTATTTCATTTAGATTTTAAGCCTTTATCATTCAGCTCACAGATTGGAATTAAACATGGGACATTAATCAGTCATCTTTAGGCGTTGCTATTTTGTCCCATTTTGGCAGGTTGTGGACAACCTGGGACTAGTAGGGTATACTAATGGAAATAGAATTTCGTAGGTTTTTCCTAATGATAAGACTTAATTACCTGTCTCCACCAGATTTAAACAGACATGCAAGGATTTAGAGAGAAAGATGTCAACAGCTATGTAAATATTCAGAATAATTCCAAACATTCGTCAGAAATGTTTTATTGTTAATTATTAAATGAAACAAAACATAATTTATCATTTAGAATGACACTTACATGTATAAGAGAGATTTTCAGGTTGTGAAGTGATTTAATGTATACTGTGTGACCTCAGCATCATGGTAGTATGGCTTCCGTCAGTCTAGATCTTGTGAAACACAACTCATTTCGTTCATCCAAGAACTTGCAGCAAATAATAATAGCAACACACAAACAGACTTAATTATAATGGACTTTGCCAAAGCCTTTGACAAAGTCCCTCATAAAAGATTGCTCTATAAATTGAACTATTACAGTATCCTAAACAAAACACTAAACTGGGTCTCTGCCTTCTTAAATGTCAGAACACAAACAGTTGTCCTGGATGGAGAGTCATCTGACCTGGTTCCAGTCACCTCAGGTGTCCCTCAAGGCACAGTTCTGGGCCAAGTATTATTCTTGGTATACATTAATGACCTACCAGAATACTTATCATCCAGTAAGCTCAGGCTGTTTGCCAATGACAGTATCATCTACAAAACCATAAAATCTCAAAGTGACTGTGATGCACTACAGTTAGAATTAGATGCAGCTGCTAGGTGTGAGCAAGACTGGTTGATGGCTTTCCATCCAGACAAAAACAGTTTAAACATGACTATATCCTCCACAATCACAAACTTGAACTGGTCTCTTCAGCTAAATATCTGGGCATTACACTACAAGCAAACTTAAAATGGTCAAAACATACAGACAACATCACAGCTAATGGCAACAAATCTTTGGGCTTCCTAAAAAGAAACTTCAGAACATCAAAACTCAGGCATATCTGGCACTAGTTCGACCAAAAGTGGAATATTCATGTTCAGTATGGGACCCTCACACAGTTGAACAAACTTCTAAAATCAAGATGGTCCAAAGACGAGCTGCCAGATATTTCTGTAACAGGTACTATAACATCAGTAGTCCTACAGACATGATAAACTCATTAAACTGGCCTACACTACAAGAAAGAAGACTACGCACAAGATTGATAATTTTCTACAAAATAGTACATCAAATCGTAGCAATCCCATCTGCTATTCTCATACCATCGGACAGCAGAACCCGCAAAAATCATAATTTCACTTTCAGACACATTTTAACCAAAAAAGATACACATTTTCATTTTTGTCGAGCCTGCGACTTTTGTCGCAGAAAGCTCGACATAGGGATAGTGATCCTGCGGCGGCGGCGGTGTTAGCTAACTTCTTATAAGCTTTATATTTTAGAAGGTGTAAGATCTGGATGCTTCATACTTTGTATATATATGGATGCCTCATGTTATGAAGTTTCCGTCAGTCACATGTCCAATGTCCTTGACCTCATTTTCATGGTTCAGTGACTACTTGAAAAAAAGTTAAGATTTTTTGTAATGTTAAATTCTCTCTTATTATAAGTAATAGGATAACTATATTTGGTATGTGCGTACCTTGCAAGGTCCTCATGCCTGTCAGACAGTTTTCACTTGACCTCGACCTCATTTCATGGATCAGTGAACAAGGTTAAGTTTTGGTGGTCAATTCCATATCTCAGATACTATAAGCAATAGGTCTAGTATATTCGGTGTATGGAAGGACTGTAAGGTGTACATGTCCAACTGGCAGGTGTCATCTGACCTTGACCTCATTTTCATGGTTCAGTGGTTATAGTTAAGTTTTTGTGTTTTGTTCTGTTTTTCTTATACTGTATGTAATAGGTCTACTTTATTTGGTGTATGGAATGATTGTAAGGTGTACATGTCTAGCTGGCAGGTGTCATCTGACCTTGACCTCATTTTCATGGTTCAGTGGTCAAAGTTAAGTTTTTGAGTTTTGGTCTTTTTTTCTAATACTATATGCAATAGTTCAACTATATTTGGTGTATGGAAATATTTTATGATCTATATGTCAGTCACGCAGGTTTTATTTGACCTTGGCCTCATTTTCAAGGTTCATTGCTCAGTGTTAAGTTTTTGTGTTTTGGTCTGTTTTTCTTAAACTATAAGCAATAGGTCAACTATATTTGTTGTATGGAAGAATTGTTAGCTGTACATGCCTGCCTAGCATGGTTCATCTGACCTTGACCTCATTTTCATGGTTCAATGGTCAATGTTTAGTTTACTTGGTTAATGTTAAGTTTATGTGACAGTTGTAATAAAGCTTTATATTTAGGACTATCAACATAATATCAATGATTAGTAAAGAAGGCGAGACATTTCAGCGTGTGCACTCTTGTTTCCATATACCATAACTCAGTGGAATTTACTTCCAATCCATACAGTTGCTGTCACTACAGTTGACACTTTCAGAGAACAGCTCACACCAGCTGTTCTCCACAAATTCATTTAATTTATTATAGCCTATGTACATAGTTTTAATCACAATGCACTCCAAATTCATTCTCAATTATTTTTGTGTTATATATAAATATATATATAGGCCACACAGCGCAAAACAGTAAATAATCTTCAGATCAATGGACTACTGAAAACCTGAAGAAGAAAGTGTTGTGAAATGGTCAGTGATTTGAATGTAGGAAAAAAAAGTCACAGGAAAAAAGGTCACAGGAAATAAAATCACAATTAAAAAATAGTAAATTTAGAATGTTAAATTTTTTGATAAATATGCTTTTAATAGATTTTGATTAAGAGGTAGGCAGAAACAGATATATGTATCATATGTCTCTAACGTATTGAAAAAGTCACAGAAAATTTATTTGAAATTGTATACAGTAAATTTTATCAACTGATTAGTGTTTCAACATATTTTAATGAATGTTTGTATTTATTGCAATTTAATAAATTTTCCAAGATTAAAACAAAATGTTGTCCATAAAAATGTCTATTTTTTAAAATGATTCAACAGATGGTTCAATATTGACTAAATAACTGGCTTCAATTTACTTTCTACATTTCCTGTCAATCATCTACTGTTTGGACAGATTAACACTTAAAACCTTAAAAATATACTCTTTTTCAATAATAGGTCATTTACCATTGAAAGTTTCGTACAACATTTAAAGAATGGAAAAGTAATGAAATACCATTAAATATTTAAAAAAAAAATGGACATTATTTCCTATCAGATTTGAGGCTTTTTTCCTGTGATTGTTTTTCCTGTGACCTTTTTTCCCTGCCAAATTTGTGACTTGTTTCCTGTCTGTTTTTTCAATTTTCCAGTGATTTATGGCCTCCAAAGCCACTGTTTAAATTTATTAACCCTTTTATATAGGCCATCTTTGCTAGCCAAGGGGTACGATCCAGTCCCCTCCTCTCCCAAATGGGTATGACTAATATCTACTGTTAGATGGCACAGCATTGTAATCACAAATGTTAGATTAATCTGTCAAGGGTCGAGAGGAAAAGGAAAAGACTGAATTGTAACCCTTGGCTAGCGAAGATGCATGTAGACACACTTCTGTAACAAAATATATTCTTATAGAACTAAAATAAAGCGACAAAGTTAAAAATCATTTTTTTAGAAAGAAATCGATTAAATGACATTCCATCAAATTATGATAAGCAGAAGAAATCAATTTGTGATTAACACCATGAACACAAATAATATTTAAAGTTGTGAGATATAAACATGATAAAAAAAATAAAAATATGATTTTTTTTTGTTCAATCATTAATTAAAGTATAATAGTTCAATAATAATTCGCTTTTAGCAGCCAGTTTGGTTCAATTTTGTCGAAATAAGCTAAGAAACATCGCTGATGAATTATTCACTTGCAAGTAAATAATTCTACTTCATTGAATCTGTATTCATGTGACCTTCAATTTAACCCTAAGGTAGAGATGGGTTACGCATGAATTAGGCGTGCTCAGCTATTACAGGGAAAAGAAGTCAATATTGAAAGTGAAACTAGAGTAAACCATTTGGTTGACTGATTTGATCCACAAAAAATATCTATTTATTTCTATATGTATGTTTATATTGGTTTATATGACTGTCGGCAATCTTCAGAGGTCACCTCAATGGTTAATTAGATGGAGTCTTGACTAAAATACACACGAAACATTATCAAGTCTGTGCATCTTAAATTGTTTATTTTAGATTTTTTATAATTTGGATATAAGTTTTAGTATGTTATAAATCAAATATGAGAATTTGAGTCAAATGGATGAACATGAATTTGACAGGTAATGCCCGTCCAATGAAATTAGTTGTTTTTGTAATTAATTTCTCATTTGAATATACACATGTCTTAGAGACTAATTTATATTAGGTGTGAATTATTTGATTACCAGGTAAATCACAACATAATTAGATGAGCTGGCAATGTATTCTTATTGTTAATATATCATGTCCCAGGTTGTCACCAAACAGGCAAATTGGGAATAGTTCTCCAAATGATTATCTATCCCTTAAATGAGGGATACTTTTCTAGTGTTAACATTTTTTTTTAATCCACATTTTATACTTCAAATGGCATATATTCATGAAAAATGAAGCAAATTTTCAAAAGAAGATATGAAGATTTAAATAATTTTAAACTGATTTACAGAAAAGCTACAAGAGCTACATGTATGAAAACTTTGAAAAATAAAAAAAATCAAGGTTACTAACTAAACCCTAAATAAAAATACGGTTTTTTATGATAAACGGTTCAATTTCTGTTACATTTATGCCAGTTGAGGTAAAAAACACTCAGGTAGATAATTTTTTTTTTAGCTCTATCCAAGTATTACTTAATTGAGATATTGGTACTCATTTGGGGAAACTGTTGTACAACGTATATATATGTATCAAATCTTTCCTGAAATAGGCAATATGTACCAAAAATATTTTTAGCATATAGTAACAACCATATTTAACCCTTTAAAATTCTATTTGGAAATTTGAGCCATTTACCACATCTTGATTTTCTGCATTGCATGCTAACAACATCTTTCCATGAAATACAATGAAGTAGGTAAGCCCTGAAAAGTAGATATTTTTTTGGGTAAAGATTGCATGAAATGCAATCAATACCCTATGGTACTGACTTGATATCTATATCTTCCAAGGTTTATCACTACCTTTGATAGTTCAAACAAAATAGTGCAATGAAGTGATCATTATTTAGATCCTATCCAGTCAATGTCATGCAATTTATTGATGGTATGTTATCCTTTGATATTTAAGTTACAATATGATGGGTATTTGAATTACCGTACTTGTCATGAAAACATTTTTTATGCCCCCGCCGTAGTGGAGGGGGCATTAAGTTTTACCCTTGTCCGTCTGTACGTACTTCTCAAAGTTGGTTTCCATTCTCTAACTTTAGTTTGCCTCAACCAAATGTTATGAAACTTATACACAATGCTTATTACCACAAAACACAGATCAAGTTTGAATTTTGGTGGTGTCACTTTAACCGTTCTAGAGTAATGCCCCTTTACAAATGGAAAAATTGCTGAATTTTTCGTTTCCGTTCTTTAATATTAGTTTGCCTCAACCAAATGTTATGAAACTTATGCACAATACTTATTACCACAAAATACAGATCAAATTTGAATTTTGGTGGTGTCACTTTAACCGTTCTAGAGTTATGCCCGTTACAAATGGAAAAATTGCTGAATTTTTCGTTCCCGTTCTCTAACTTAAGTTAGCCTCAACTAAATGTTATGAAACTTATACACAATGCTTATTACCACAAAACTCAGATCAAATTTGAATTTTGGTGGCGTCACTTTAACCATTCTAGAGTTATGCCCCTTTACAAATGGAAAAATGGCTGAATTTTTCGTTTCTGTTCTCTAACTTAATTTTATTAAAAATTACATAAGTAATGCATGGTGTATGAATCTGTTATAAAAATAGGTTCAACTACAAGTGTACAATCATGAACAAAGGAAGATAATCCAACTCAAATTTTTATTTTGCCTAGCCAAATACAAATCAATGTTTTATTTAAAAATTCACAAAATTGTAAAATATAAGTAATCTTTACCATTCAGTGCACACATGGACTTTGATTTTCTTTTTGTGGATTAATTTAAATTAACAGAAAAATATGACCCCATATTACTGGTTTCTCTTATCATGCTAAAACCTTTGGGTAAATTTCTTTTTTCGCAAACTCTCGCCAAAACGACATTTTTTTTTGACATTCTCATTTTTTTTTCACCAACTCACATTTATATATTTTTTATTTCGAACTTGTTTTCCTTCTTTCTAACCAATAAAATTCAGGTTGCAGCAGTGTTGTCTCATTTATTATAAGTCTACATATATTTTTTATATCCTACATTGTAAAAAATTAACACTCAATCAACAAAAATTTCTTGAACTTTATTAAAATTGCTGTAAAATTTGACTTCAGGAAACACGAGATACAATGTACTTCTTCAATCAGTTTATTGAATACTTCCTGTCTAGTTAAAGGACAAAGAAAAACAAATCAGAGATTTGTGTTGCTTTTGAACATCTTCTTTAAAACAATAGTTTTCTTTTCAGAATGATTGTTAAGAATGATCGTTAAAAGTAGAAATTGAGATGTAAAACTATGCTTTAAAAAGGTGTGCCGCTAAAATAATTGTGAAGTACCCACTTCAAAACAATTATTTTTATCAAAGTCGTAAAAACAATCCTTCAGGTGACATGTGACACCAATTTACCACACATTTTCATTAAACAATATAATTAACACCTTTATTAATTTGTCTATTGTTGCAGATTGCTATCAATTGCAATAAGCTGATTATAAATTTTCTTACAAAATCGATACTAGTTCAAGGTGAAATCCGAGTATTGTCTATTCAGGTTAAAAATTTCGAGAAACCTGAAACAAAATTAAAAAGATGAAAGAAGTTGAGCGTAAAATTTCTTTCACCAAATTCTTTCGCAAATCATGATTTTTAATCGCTACAATTATATTTTTTTTGCAATATGCGAAAAATGCCGACCGCCAGCGGAAACCCTGCATGCTAATATAAAAGTAAGGAGGTGTGGTATGATTGCCAATGAGACAACTATCCACCAAAGTTCAAATGAAGTGGATGAAATGAATTTTAGATAATAGGTGGTATATGTACAAAAACTTATTCTGTCTTTGTGATGCATCAGGCATTGTCACCTTTTTAGCGTGATGTCACAATAGGAAATTTAGAGGAGAGCAAGTAAATTTGACATCATTATTGAATTTTGACCAGCTGAGAACTTATCTTGAACAAACCACATGTCGGTAAGGAAAAAATAAATCGGCCAGCTAGGAAATCTATAAATCTGCTAAAAATTAGATAAAGAGACATCCTTCATTTACAATTCATATCTGAAATTCCATTGATTATTTTGACTAGAATGCCACTTTTAAATACTCATACGTGTACATGTATATAAAAAAAAACAATTTGCAAGACACTAACCATAATATACTTATTGGCATATTGTTTACATTGTCTAGCTTGTTAAAGTTCAATATAAAAATAAGAAGATGTGGTATGATTACCACTGAGACAGCTATCCAATAATATGATTGATTGATTGTTGGTGTTTTAGCGCCACTTTTAAGCGCCACATTTGGGCTATTTCTTGGCGGCCAGTTTTTATTGGTGGAGGAAGCCGGAGTGCCTGGAGAAAACCACTGACCTTCGATAGGAAAACTGACAATCCTAGTCAATTAAGATTAGAGTCGAGTGCACCCGCATGAGCAGGGTTCGAACTCACAACCTCAGTGTTGACTGGCTAGTGAAAACAGTAGTAGAACTACTTAGACCACTTGGCCACCGAGGCCCTCCAATAATATGTGTTACATGTATGGGATGCATAGAGAAGTAAAAAAGAAAATAGCATCTAAGCCAGCAATTAATATAGCATCTTGTTGAAAACTGATAGCATTTTATGGGGATGCTAAAACAGCCTGTGGAGATCACTGCCTTTACCAATGAGCTAAATCCTTACTTTATATCATCATACAGTAAGCTATAAAAGGCCCCTATTTGACCAAATGTAAAGTCCTGATTTATATACAGAAGAATATTTTATTCCAATTAAGGACCCTGAAGGGCATACAATTTTGACATGACAATTACATCACTAATTCAGAGATTAAAACAAATAATAAACAGTGATAAAGCAATCAACCAAAAATATATATAGAATATGATAGACAGTGACCAACAACACTGAATAACCAAATAACAGGCACGTGACTGATTTTTCAAAATTTTGTATCAAAAATGTGAATTATCAGATTTTAGAATATATGAGCAGTGTAAGTAGTTACATAAACAACAATAATTTTAAATGTTTTACATATCTTACCACTGAAACAGTGCATTTATTTGTCTCCAGACATTTTATAGGTCTCAGAACTTGAATTTAGTTGTAGCATTAAAGCCATTTGCAAAAGTGAGTCTTAGGTATACAATTGTACATGTACATTACATATTGAATCCTAGCTCTGTTCGTGATAGCCATTTTTTGTGACATGTTTGTAATGTGCATTTTATTTTTAAAAAAACCCTTGTGTGCTATGCCTTGAAGAAAAAGTTTTGATCCCAAGAGTTTTCCCTTTCTTTACATATATGAATCTACATCATGCTATTTGATATATATTCTATAGATAACATTGGTAGACAGATCCTTGATGCCAGGAGATGTCATAAGACGGATGATCAGTGGTAAAAGTAGCCAAAGAGGATATGTACAGAATTTAATTGTCAAATGTCATCTTTATATTAAAGGCACCAACAAATACATTTATAATGTAGATGCAACAGATCTGAAGCCTTTACGTGTAAGTTAAGTTGGCCTAAACTATTAAGATAAAGCTTTATATTTCAGAGGGTAGAATACCTGGATGATTCATACCTTGTATACAGATGTCTTATGTTACCAAGTTAACCTCTGTAATATGTCTATTGTCGTTGTCCTCATTTTCATGGTTCTGCGACTGATGAAAAAATGATTTTTTTATCATGTGAATTTCTCACTTATTTTGAGTAATAGAATAACTATATTTGGTATATGGGATCCATGTAAAGTCCAAATGTCTGACAGTTGCCTCATTTCATGGATCAGTGATAAAGGTTAGGTTTTCATGATTAGGTCTGTTGATACTAGGCAAAGTAGTTCAACTATATTGGGTTTATGTAATGATTGTAAGGTGTACATGTCAGTCTGGCAGGTTTCATCTGACCTTGACCTCAAATTCATGATTCATTGGTCAAATTTGTTTGTGGTTTGGTCTGTTTTTCAGATACTATAAGCAATGGGCCACAATATTTGGTGTATAGTATGTAAGGTTTACAGGTCTGTGTTGCAGGTTTTGTATGACCTTTACCTCATTTTCATGGTTCGTTGGACAATGATTAGTTTCCATGATTGTTAGATGTATATACATGTATCTGCCTAGCAGGGTTAATCTGACTTTGACCTCATATTCTTGATTTATTGGTCAATGCTAAGTTTTCATAGTAAGATCTTTTTCTCAACTACTATAAACAATAGGTTTACTACTTTTGGTGAATGGAATGATTGTAAGGTGTACAAGTCGGTCTGGCAAGGTTAATCTGACCTTGATTTCATTTTCATGGTTCATTTGTCAATTTAAGTTTTCATTGTTCATTTATCAGCTTTAAGTTTTCATTGTTCATTTGTCAGCTTTGAGTTTTCATGGTATAAAGGTCTATTTCTCAGATACTATAAGCAATAGACCATTTAATACTATATTTGATGTATGGAATAACTATTAGGTGTACATGTTTGTCTGGCAGGGGTTAATTGTCCTTGACCTCATTGTCATGTTTTGTGATACTTGAAGTAAAATCTTAAAAACTTTCAACATAAAATCAATCCTGATCAGTAAAGCAGGCAAGTCATTTCACTGGGTGCACTCTTGTTTAATAAGTAAGGTCCCTGGAAGTTAAATAAAATTTTTAAATTGTACATAAATTAGTAGTCTCATTTTGTTGGTGTTTAGTTCGTAAGGGAGAGTAACATAGAATATATTTGTGGTTTTCACAAACAACACCTACATGTAAAAGATGTTTGATATTTCAACTTTTGATATGTTACAGGAGTTTGATATAGATGATGATGTGTCCCTTGACCCTTGGTATGGTAAAGTGAAAACAACTTCAATGCAATCAAGAGTTGTCTTTCCTGATGGTGCACAGTGTATAGCCGAAGAAGAAGATTTGTATGATCTGGATATTGTTCCTGAAGATGGAGACAGTAATGATGTTGAATATGATCAGGAGATTTACCCAGGATCTGTTCTTACTGGTGAGAGGGAGAATCTCAAAGTTGTCAAGTGGATTCAGGAAACAAAGAAATACCACAAGAAAATGTCACCATCTCAAAAAATCTGTGTCAGGGTAGAAGAGGTAAAATTTTAAAAACTGAAGAGAGGATTTTGTTAAAGACAATTAGATGTCAACATTTAATAGCATGTAACATATTGAATCATGACTTGCCTGAATGTATTTATTATAGATCTCGTGGGGTAGGCTCCTGACAATTTGTCAATTTTTCTGGAATCTCCAAAGTGGAAGTTAGAATCTACCCCTATTCGTTAATTGTTACTTTTGTATTTTGAATGTGTCAGTGATATGTGTTTACATAATCCTAATAGCATTGTGAGAGATAGTTTTGTTTCACTTATTTTCTGATTTTGATAAATGTCACTGAGAAGAGTCTTCTCTATAACTAGACAGGACAAAAACAAAGATTAAAAATATTCAGAATAGGCTTTCTAATTCATATGAGCAAGTGTTAATTAAGTCCATTATGGAGATTATGGTAAATATTTTCAAGTATTGAAGAAGGCGTAATGTGAAAAAAATGCATCTGTTATTACACACTTTTAACACAATTTGTTTCCCTTTGTCAATTGTAGACTGCCTCTATACCAAACAAAATGGGCTTCTTCTCATGCAAAGCATGATAAATATAAAGTAATATCTAGGCATTTTAATCAATTATATGGAAAAATAACTACTGGTAAAAGTTTTTATCATAAAATAAATTAAATATATTTAAAAAATTTGAAAAACTTAAAGGTTACACACATTACAGTACACACAGATGAATTTGCTGTATCCGCTAGCTCTTCATTCAAGCTCATTGTCAATGAAAAGTTATAACTATCATAAGGGGGACAACTAGAAAATGGATCTCTTATTACACGTTCAATTAGGTAATTTGCAATTAGACTACAGAACTTATATTATTGAAACTATTTTTTCTTTTCAGAGTCAAATAAATTCTGTACACGTGAACTGGATATGTCGAGGATTTAATATGACAGATGAAACTATACAGCTCCATCAACCTAGTCTCATCAAGAAAGAAGATCTACACAAGTAACGTCATATAAAGCTTAATTGGTCTGATGGGCCATATGATCTATTGCCATCAATTGACATCCATCGTCATAAACAGCAATACTGATAAGCAATACAAGATCTACAAAAATGCCTTTTATGACTTAAATCATTGTGCTTAAATGATGATTTTGGACTTATTTTTATCTGACCTTTGCGGTCGTATATTGGTATCGTCATCGTCCTCGTCCAAAGACACTTGGTTTCTGGACAATAACTTTAGTATCAATTAATAGAAATCTATGAAATTTAAACACAAGGTTTTTAACCTTAAAAGGAAGGTTGGGATTGATTTTGGGGGTTATGGTCCTAACAGTTTAGGAATTAACTTGTGGAACGGTGTATGGATCTCTCTGAAATTGTACAACAAGTTTCCATACCACAAAGGGATGGTTAGAATTGGCTTTGGGTGTAATGGCTCAAACCGTTTAGGAATTAGGGGCAAAAAAGGGGGAAAAAACAAGGGTTTCCTTGTTAATGGACAATCACTTTTAAGTACAATGTTAAATTTGGATTACCTCCCTTACACTGCTTTAAAATTATGTATAAAGAAATTTTGTATTGTCTTGAGGTGAATAGCTGTCAATTTATTTTTAGAAGTTACTAATAAAAATGCTGATTAAAGATATATTATTTTTAGACATGATTATGTATGTCATTTTCTATTTTAAGACTTTTATGATGTATTTAAATGGGTAATTATGGTTGCAAACTCCATTGGAAATTTGAATTGAGATAATTACCATATCTTGAGGGAAAGATTTTTTTTTTTGGAAAAGGGGAAGGGGGAGGTGAAAAAAAATTGGGGGGGGGGGAACAATTTTTTTTCCCTTATTACAGATTTCAGAAATTAAAAAGAAAATTTCTTCAAATATTTTTTTTTTGTAAAAAAAGAAGGGGTCGGGTGAATTTTTTTTTTTTTATTCTAAGTTCTTTGACTACAGTTATTCTGTGTCAGAAACCTATTATGTGTCAATCATTTAATTTCAATCCAAATTCAGACCTGTATCAAGCACTAATATTGTGTCCATTTTTGCCCCAACTGTTCAGGGTTGGACCTCTGCGGTCGTATCCAGCTGTGCTTGGCGAAGCAGTTTATTTTTACATTTTTTCCTATTATCTTGAAGTATATAATAGATATTAGAAACTAAACAGTAAAAATGGTCAGCAATGAAAGATCATCAAAAATGACAACATAACAGAAATTATTGGACGACTCATAATAGGAATTTAGGAATTTTGATCAATTTTTATGTTTTGCTTATTATCTTGAAAATTATAATAAAACTGTAAACAGCAAACATGATCTAAAAAAGAGGATTTAAAAAAATGCCATGAGATAAGATCTATTAATAAGAAAGCATATGCATGACCAATTCCAATAAAGGTAAAAATACCAATCAAAATGGCATATTTTAACAAGATGAGTGATTCAGGCTTTTATTATATGATATATGATTGTAATTTATAAGTTGCAAGAACATAAGGTCTCATAAGTGAAAGGCTGACATATTTCATCCCATGCTATTAAGGTTCTTTCATATGTTCCTTGTTTAAGGTCAGTGTTTTAACAATGAAAATAACACTTTATTAATTTTGTGCCTCCTAAGTAATTTTCTGGATTTACCTTCATCAGAAACTTTTGAGAGCCAAGGATGTAACTTGTTAAAGATTTATCAAACATGTATATTTCATTCTAGTTCATGTGATTTAAAAAAAAATGTAATGCATATATGTAATTACCATTATTTTTAATCGCTGGGGGAATCTTGAATAACCTTTTCTCTCATAGGTGGGTTGTTTTATACAATGCTAAGCCAGGTATTATAAATATTGTGACCCACACATTAAAGCTTCAATGTTAAAAATCTTAAAATAAATTTCTTGAGTGGAGAAAAGTTGTAACCCTCCCGTAACAGTAGCATATTCAATAAAAAAAATACATGTAGTAGGTTACTGTGAATATTTAAGTATTTTTATTTCAATTTGCAAAACAAATCTCCAACAGTTAAGTAAATATACTAATGTAACAATAAAAACTAATACCCACATTACACCGTTTAATTCTATTTGTAGAATAAAGAAGTTAGGGAAATTCCATCACTGTAGTACACAGATTAATGACATTATGATGTACACAATCAAAGATACTGATGTCTTATCAGAAGTCATTCCTGGAACAAATCTTGATAGTACCATTAATGAATTGAATAATACAAGATCGAATACTCAACCAGATCTCAGCAATGACACTGGAATCGTTGATGGGCTGGATCTATTGTCAGTACCTGTATCTAATGGAACAGAAAGTAGCTCCGGGGAAGTAACTGCTCAATGTAAAGATGGTGATATTCCTGATGTGTGTAGTGGTGATAATGACAGTGGAGTTTGTACAAAATCAGAAGTCTTGATGAATGGACATGATGATGAAGAAGATGTTGAGATGAATGATAGTTTAGATACAAGTGAAATTACTGAATCACAGATTGACGAAAACAATGATGATGCAGACTATGAAGACATTCCTGATCAGACAAAAGAAAAAAGGAAAAGAATGCAGAAACGATCAGCTAAAGGGAAAAGAAAGAAGAAGAAAACAATGGAGTTTCAAACTAAGTTCCCAACATTCGAAGTCGGTGATTCTGTAGCAGTTGTTGTTTATTGTACAATGTCTTTAGCGACAGTCATGTGGCAGGTAAATACAAGTAACAGTGGAGTTTGGCATGCTAATGATAATTGTTATGGGGATAATGTAGCTATGTTCTGTGACTACAATCATGTTGCTTGTAATTAGGACTTAAAGAAGTGTATTTTTACATGACTTATTCAAGACATGACTTATTCAAGGTTTTATAGATGAAATATCTTTTAATTTTATGTGTAATTTAAGTTTTTCCTGAAAGCAGTTTTAATTGTTAATTTAGTTTTTTTTCTGTAGATGCAGAGTTCACACATACAATAGGTTTATTTGTTTATTATTATCATTTTAGGATGGAAGTGTAGAGAAAGATGTATCTTCAACAGAATTGTATCCAGTCCATCATCTTGATGAGCATGAATTTTTTCCTGGAGATTTTGTTGTTGAAGCTAAAGGTATAAATAAAATATCATTAAATAAAGAACCCAAAAATAAAGATTATCCCTACTATGAATGAAATATTTGCTACTGGCTGTAAAGCAGCCATCGATCAATCAACAATATACATTAAAGGAAAAAATAACAGAGAAGCTTGGTATGAACTCAAAATTTATCAATTCTTTGTACATACTGAATTACTTTTTCTGAGATCAGTAAATAGTTTTAAAAGTAAAATAGCTTTTACAAACTCTGACATAATATAAACACCTGATTTTCTATAGTGTTATGCAGAATAAGATTTCTAGATTTGGAGTTAGGTGTATTATGTGCCAATGGTGCAGTTGTTTGGTTTTTAATATTTTTTATACAAGACCTGCAACTGCTTGAGTTCATTTACTCCTTGCTGCTAGTTTGAACCAAATTTTTACAAGTGATCCCTTGAACTGTGTTAAAAAAATTTGAATTCTTTTATTATAGAAGAAAGTGATAAACCAAACTATTATGGAGCTGTTGTGAGTTGTGATCACCATTCCAGAACTTGTATGGTCAACTGGTACAAACTAGAGAATGGCTGTAATATTAAGTATGATATAGAACTTATATAAATGAGAGACTGACCATGCATGTGCCATTCTCTATTCACCATTCCACTTTCCTATCCTATTTGAATCTATACACACTTTGCACCATTCAAAACTAACCACAATGTAAAGTGTATGTCAGAGGGAATTACTCAATTCAAATATTTTTTTCTAAAACAAACTTAAATTCAAAAACCATACAACATTCCTCATGCACCAATGATCTATATGCACATTTTAGTTCCACCTCAACAAAGTTAACTGACAACTATCAGAGTATCCCTAATTGTCTCTTTCTGTGTCTGCAACCAGTTTTTATACGGCCGCAAAAAAATTTTGTGGTCTTATATTGGTATGACATTGTCGTCGTCGTCGTCCAGCGGTGTCGTCCGAAGACACATTGGTTTTCGCACTCTAACTTTAGTTTAAGTGAATGGATCTCTATGAAATTTTACCATAAGGTTCAATACCACAAAAGGAAGGTGGGGATTGATTTTGGGGGTTATGGTACCAACAGATAAGGAATTAGGGGCCAAAAATAAGCATTTTTGTAACTTCCAGACATAACTTGTGTGTTAGTGTATGGATCTCTCTGACATTGTACCACAAGGTTCCATATCACAAAGGGAATGCTGGGATTGATATTGGGGGTAATTTCGTCCAAATTTTAGGAATTAGGGGCCAAAAAGGGGCAAAAAACAAGCATTTTTCTAGTTTCATGACAATAAATTGTGTGTAAGTGTATGGATCTCTCTGACATTGTACCACAAGGTTCCATATCACAAAGGGAAAGCTGGAATTGATTTTGGGGGTAATTGCCCACAACGTTTAGGAATAAGGGGCCAAAAAGGGGCCAAAAATAAGCATTTTTCTAGTTTCCAGATAATAACTTGTGTTCAAGTGTATGGATCTCTCTGAAATTGTACTGCAAGGTACCATACCATAAAGGGAAGGCTGGGATTGATTTTGGGGGTAATTCTCTAGAGATTAGAGGAATTAGGGGCCATAAAGGGGCAAAAAAACAAGCATTTTTCTAGTTTCAGGACAATAACTTGTGTGTAAGTGTATGGATCTTTATGAAATTGTACTGCAAAGTTCCATATTACAAAGGGAAAGCTGGGTTTGAGTTTGGGGGTAATTGCCCTAAATGTATAGGAATTTGGGGCCAAAAAGGGACCAAAAAACAAGCATTTTTCTAGTTTCCAGACAATAACTTGTGTTCAAGTGTATGGATCTCTCTGAAATTGTACTTATACATGTGAACCTCCTGACGGGAGTACAACAATCCCGTTTTCAGGGGTCTCCTCCCGACCTCCCGTTGAAGACAAAAAAATCCTGTGTATGAAATATTTCATGAATGAAAAATTTCAGCCCAACATATCTGGTGTAACTGACATTACTGAAGTTATATTTTACCTGTAAATCAATTAACATGCATAATTATATGGCTTCACTTGTCACTTTGGGTGTCAAACATACTGGTAATCAATGATTTTTACCTCAGGCTAACTGCCGTTGTGTAATAAAACTTTGTTTATTTAAAATGAATGTTGGGTTACTTCCCTTGATTTATCCTGTTTTAAGTTACTTTCCTTTAAATAATGTAAATTTTTAAAAGAATATAAATAAAATATAAATTGAACAAATAATCATAAAAGGATGGTAATTAAATGATTTTAAATGTCTTAGGACAAATAAAAAAATAATAATTTGAAAATTATTTAACTATGACCCATGATTGCAGTTTGAATGTGTTACTTATCATGCATCAAAAATCTACTTGTTTTAAAGATAAAAAAAAAAAAAAAATCTACTTGCATAAAGATAAAAATAAAAGATCTACTTGCAGATAGATAAGCAAATGTTCTGATTGCAATGATTAATGGTAAAAAAGATATGACCTAAAAAATTTAAAGAACATACTAAAAAAGAAGAATGTTAGATTGAACAAGTTGAAAGTTCAAAAAGATAGAGAAAATTTATAAGTACAAGGGTACTATAAACATAATACATTCGGATGGAAAGTTGAAGAAAACACACTTTAACAGACAATTTCTACAGCACATGGTTACATTTACGACAGAATTTATGTCGATTAAAAACCTCCTGATCTGAGTCCTAATCTCCCAAACTCCTGATCTTAGTTTCACAGTCCATCACATGTATGTGTACTGCAAGGTACCATACCACAAAGGGAAGGCTGGGATTGAGTTTGGGGGTGATGAATCATAAGGGGGTTCAAAAAATTGGGGGGGGGGGGGGGGGGGGATTTTTTTTTTCCTTTTTTTTCTTTAAAATTTTCCATTTTAAATTGGTTATTTCTGATTTATATATAAAAGCAAATAATAATGATATGGTTTGAATAGATAAATTAAAAAATTTTAAGTTCTTAGACCACATTTATTCTGTGTCAGAAACCTATGCTGTGTCAAATATTTAATTACAATCCAAATTCAGTGCTGTATCAAGCTTGAATGTTGTGTCCATACTTGCCCCAACTGTTCAGGGTTCGAGCTCTGCGGTCGTATCAAGCTGCGCCCCAGCAGAGCATTTTATTTTAAACTAAAACACATTCATCTGTATAATTAGGTGTTCAGATAAATCTTTTATAGACTGACCATATGCATATGCATGTGCCTTTAGATAAAGGCATATTTCAGGGTTCAATTGCTTTAAGTCTTGGCAGAGACAAAATGCGAGACTTAGGTATGCTGTTTCCGACGGTAGCGTCTCTGGCGTCAACAATGTATTAGTTTTTGATTAGGTCAATTTATGGGGAACAATTAGTGGTAGGTCAATGATATTTGGTATAAAGTTGTATTAGCATTGGCACGTCTCATTTCCATGGAGATTATTTGGTCCTGCCCCTCAGTCAATGTCTATAGACTTTGAAACTTTTGCTTACATTACATGTATTAGTTTGTGATTAGGTAAGTTTAAGAAGAACCACTTGTGGTAGGTCAATGATATTTAGTATGTAGATGCATTAGTATTGGCACATCTCATTTCCATAGAAATTATTTGGCTCCGTCCCCTCAGTCATGGTCTATTGACTTTGCATGTTTTGCATAGTTTACATGTTAAATTTATCAGTTTGAGAGGAACTACTAATGTTAAGTCAATGATATTTGGTATGCAGTTGTATAAGCATTTGCAAGTCACTTTTCCATGGTGATTATGTGGCCTCACCCCCTCATCATGATTCATTGACTTTGAAATTTATATATTGTATACAATTTAAGGATGTGTTTAGGTTAGTATACAGGGAACCACTTAAAATAAATCAATGGTATTTGGTGTGCAGTTTTATAAACATTGGCATTGCTCATTTCCATTGGGTTATTTGGTCCTGCACCATAAATCATGGTTCATTGACTTACGGTTTGCATAGTTTACACATTAAAATATTGCCATTTGGATTCAATATTTGCATTATATTATCAAAATTACAAAAAGGCAAGACATATCTGTGTATCAACAGTTTATTAAACTTAATTACTGATAAAGTTAAATTCAATATAAATATAATACAGTGAGATTTTGTTTTATTTTACAGGACTTCAGATTCACCAGAAGAAGTTAGTGTGTATGACATAAAGGACCATCCTGAGTATAAGTTTAGACCTGGAGATATTGTAGTAGCTGTTGGGGATCCCAAGGTAACTTAGAACATGTTCAATCAATAGTTATGTGCAATTTTCGAGAAATTAATTCATCACAACTATGGATGAGTTTGATTTGTGTCTGAATTGGGAGCCATTTTTCAAGAGGGACTTATAAAATATGCCTTTGAAATCTTCCCAAGATTGTACCTTCATTTTTTTTTTATCAGTCCACTTCAAATTGGTACTAAAGCTTCCTAACAATTGAACCTCGGATGAATTTTGATAATAAAAAAAAAATAAATAATGGAAACCATTTTTTTTTTGCAAGGGGATGATAACAAATTCCATAGTATTGTTGCTGGGTATGTGCCTTAGTTTTCACTCAGATCCTTTTCCAATTTGTAATAAGGCTTCCACCTTGGATGAGTTTGATCATCAGTAAATCTGAAAAGGGGGACCAATTTTTTTAGGGGGAGGGTGATTTGTGAAAAGATACCATATTGATGTAACAGCACAACATAAGAACACACTGTGAAAATCACTTGACAGACATTACTTATTACATTAGATATTTATTATGACATTATATTTATGTAAATCTTTCAGAAAAGTGGTGTTGGTAACCATGCTGCAGGGCAGGTAACCAGTCTAGACCTACAAGGGGGCCTATATGTACGATGGCCAGATAATACCACATCATTTTGCAATCCTCAAGAATTATACTTGGTTGGAGGAGATGTAAGTTTTTTTTTTATTAAGAAATTCCATTCTATAGAAAAAGAACTTAAAAGAGCTTGATACTAGTCAAATTGTCATTTAAATGTAGGCAACATTTTTAAACTTAAAACCTTTCATGAGGTTTTGGATTTTTACATTCTCCATGTTATCAGTGCTGGTTACTTTTCTTTAGAGTTACCCTAAGTTGATGGTACAGTGACAAAGACCTATTGTATATAGTCCTGTATGATGCACAACTCTATTGTGAAAAAATTCTTCTACCCAGTCATGTGCGTAGGACTTGGGAGATTTTCGCAATTCTTCGGATTGTGAAATGATAAGAAATTTGATATAATTTAAGTATTGTTTATGATAGAAACTCTATTTTATGATTATCAAATTCATTTTCCTTAAATGGCAAGCAATTGATAAGCGGATCTTGAAAATATAACACACATAATTCTTAATTCTATAAACTGGTAACAAGACATCTGATCAGTCAACTGATTCTCAAAACCTCAAAACATTCAAATGTCAGAGCAAATTTAAAATGACCTTTTCATAAATAAAAAAAGCGAATTAATATATACCCTGTGACCAATTCTCTATTTAGCTGCTAGGAATTTAACAAAAACAACTTTGGAATCATAGATTGACATAGAATAGTAAAAGGTCAAGTCATCAAGTAGAAATGACATAGGCTATATTATAATGAAATTTAAAAAAAAATTGTATTTTGACAGATGAGTGAGTATGATTCTGAGAGTGACAGTGATGACTTTAGTGACACTGATGACAGCTGGGAGACTGAAGAAGAAGAGGAGGCTGAATCAGAAAATGAGTAAGACAGTAATGCTCATGGATTTCCTTTTGTATAAATTGCATTTAGCTATTTTATTTCTATTTATAAAGATCCTGTGCCTAGGCAGGTATCAAATGTCCCTAAAACTTTAGTGTTGCAGGGCAAAGTATTTATTATGAGAAACAAGTCTGTTCCCCTTATGTAAAAATTAAGAAGTTCAAAACGCATGATGAAAAGTAACCTTATAAGTAGCTAGATTGTCAATTGTATCAAATGTTAACTGTCATTTTGATCATATATTAATAGATAGAATAAGATTAAAAAAAACACTTAACAGATAGAAAAGATTTAAAAGAAAACATTGCTATGAATATAAGTGGATTTGGGGTATATGTTGATGAGACAACAACCCAACAAAACAAAAAACAAAACACAAAAGACATTTTATAAGTCAAAATAGGGTCTTTAATAGTCGGGGTAAAGTAGGAAATCTTTGCTTGGGATTTATTTTTGCTAGTTTCTTGATTAAGAAATTATCCCTTGTAAATTTGATCTTAAAGGCAGATCATAAATAAAGACAAGAAAACAAATACCATGTCATTCAAAGAAAAGTACTTGTGGCAATCTGTCAAAAGAAGTGAATTTAAAAGGACAGTTTTTAAAGACCATTCCACCAAACTGGGGTTACATGTGGTCAACAGTTTTTACAGTTGATTTGAATGGAAACACTACTAATCATGATCTAATCATCAATTGTTGGCATCATGGATGATATGTGGGGTTGTCAAGTATAGTTTTGAAATGGGACCATTCATCAGAGAATATTATATACATGTTTATTTAAGCCATTCATAGGTTTTACCAGTTGTATTGGAATTAGAGCATGCTACAGAATAGAAAAGGGCCAATTTCATGGAAATCTGAATCCATTTGACTTTAAATTTAAATTCATTGCCTCAAAGAGACCTGAAATCACACAAGCAGTGAAATGATAAAGAAATGTTCAGGGTTATGACCATATCAGTATAATATACTGTAAAATTTTCTCATGATTAAGCAAATGGCATAGTTTTTAACATTTCTCTTTTCAGGGAAGAGGTAAAGAAATCAACTGGTCCTGTCAGAAAGGAGGAATTAGAGAGTCTGTTAGACAGAGCAACAGCAGCTTTGTCTAAATTGGATGATCTGTTTAAAACATTGCCACAATCTATGGATGCAACACAGTGCTTTCAGGAAATTATTTACATTTATAAAAGATGTAGAGAATTAGAAAAAATACTGAAATCATCTTTTTATAAGGAGGAAGAAATTGTTACTCTTATTGAGGAAGCTAAGAAAAGACTACGCAAATCACGTACGGAGAAGTACAATAAAAAGATCGAGGAACTAAGCAAACAGTTAAAAGAAGTAAGCCAAAATTTAGAGATAGAATTAAATGGGTTAATGAAAACTATGAGTGTTACTGGTAATGAGGAAACAAAGGAAACCAGTATTGTAACATCAGAATCAGGAAGGAATGAAAAGGGAAATATTTTGGGTACTGAATGTAAAGAAGGGGAAAGTAGGAATGCACAAAATAACTGTGATAAAGTAAAGGAAGTGGAAACAGGAGCAGGAAATGAACCTCTTATGTCATCTAGTGAAGGCAAAACAGGGGCACATAACTCTAAGACAACTGTCTCAGAATCTCATATTGTTGGTGCTGATAGTGAAGGAGGAAATAACTCTAGGGCAGCTGTCTCAGAGTCAGATATTCCTGGTTCTAGTAGTGTAGGAGCAAATGTACCAGCAGAGACAGGCATTGACTCAGATACTCACACTTTGTGTTTAAAAATCTGCGGGCATTTACAGGACAGAATGAAGAGAATTCTGGAGGAGGTTGTTCCAAGGTGGATGGCCGAGGGTAATATTCTAATTGATGAAGATATGTGCAATGATATTAGTCAGATGTCTGTGTCCGATACAGCTGTATCACCAGTGGACTTGCCAGAGGATAATGATACACAGGTGTCATCGTCAGATATACAGGAAGTGATGTCACCTACCACCCCTACAGAAATACCTGAGATTGTTGATGAGGTTGTAGCATGTAGTAAGTTAAATTATGTCTGAACATTGATCTAAGATTTTTTTATAATATCTGGAATCAGCTCAAAAGGACAATTATCATTATTTACTTTGAATTTATAAGGCATTTTTCAAGACATAAACCAGTAAAGTATTGAAGCTAAATAAATGTAGGAAAAAAAATCAGGATCTGAGTCAGAACTATGTTAGAGTTATTGAACTTTGCATTGCAAAATTATTAGACTTTTTCAAGAAAAAATATATCATACCTACTGAATGTATTGGTATTTTTGTGAATGTTAATTTTTGTTTGTTTCTTGTATGATAAGTTTTTTTATTGTAAATTTTTTAATTTGTAATACAGTATTATTGGCACAAATGAAAATATAAATGAAAAATAATATAAAATTTCATATATATTTTCTATTTCTCAGTATGTAGATACTACAAAACCATTTTGTTGATATAAATAAGATGTGGTATGAGTGCCAATGAGACAACTCTCCATCCAAGTCACAATGTATAAAAAGTTGACAATTATAGGTCAAAGTATGGCCTTCAACACAGAGCCTTGGCTCACACTGAACAGCAAGCTATAACCTTGATTATGTATAATTGTAGGATTTATCCAGGAGAGTGAAGTTCTACCTTGTCACAAGTTTTACAGTATGTCACACACACCTACAAACTTGAAAACATTTATGACAGCAGTTAGTAAAGAGGTGAGATAAATTATGTAAATCAATCTTAAAGACACTAAACCTGACGTCTATCTCCCTTTTTTAATTCAATTCAATTTCATGGCTGTATAACTGAAGAGAGTACAATCTTTACCAAATCAGCATTGTTTTATTAAAGTACATACATTAAACATATTATTATGAAAATGTTTTCCTTTATTCTTTGTTTCAGATGAGGTTGTTACAGAGATGTCTGCCAGAAGGGATTATAGTCCGAGGTTATGAAGACAGAATGGTAAGGACAACATACCTGCCAACTTAAAAAAATACCATGTGGTTTTATTGTGCAACAACATTTTTAAGGGTTACAATTTTTCGCGTCATTTTGCCTGTGCTTTTTTTTTCCTCTAGAAATCGTGTCATCTCTTTTTCTTATGATATATTCATGATGAGCTAATAAGCCTTATCTTCTTTCTTAATTGCATGATTTTTGTACTGATAAATATTGTGTTCAAGGATTTGTACTTGTTGTGCAGATATGATAATGCATGTAGGGTAAGATATCAGCAAAATGACAACACTGTAAGGATCTGTTACAATTGAAAAGTGTAAAAATTATGTCCATATAAGCTTGTATTTAATATATGTTCATGGTAGCACTGCAACTCAAATTGTATTAAAAGTAAGCACACTTCATTGACATGCATTAAACTTGATTCATCTTTTAATAGTCTGATTTAACTCAAAGAAATGAAAATGTCTCATGAACAGTTCTTTTGTATTAACTGTACACGCTTGCTTCACCATCTGAAGTTACTAAACATCTGATCATACAAAGAAGGTACTGGGTAGGACATTCATCCTGTCGTGATTATATCATTCTTTGATTTTTACTTTGAATATTTATTATACCCATTGATCATGGAATCTTCTGTAACATGGATTACGTTTAGAAATCTTTCTCCTGAAATCAGTGGGGCAGTACAAGCCAAACTAGCAATAAATCATCAATTAAAAACTAGTTTCAAAACTATTCATGTTTGAGAAATCCCATTGTCAAGCATAGTTGTCTGCCATTACAGATGATAGAACATATGAATTAAACATTCATTCAACATTTATAAGATACATTTTAGTGCTTATTTGGCTCTGTCAATCCACCAAAATTAAAAAAAAATATATATGATGCCATTATAATTCACAACTTTTGATAATCAACTGCTTTCATAAAATTGCAACTTGAAGCTGTAATAGGCTTCAAGATTCTTGATGATACGATTTTAATTGTGATGTTTTAAAAAGTAATGTCATCAGGGAGAATTCAGACTCTTTAGTAAAAATTGGAAATGTAAGAAACAATTTGGATATATTAACATATTGAAGGAAACAAGAGAACGTACATAGGGGCAACAGATTATCAATGAAAATAAAAAAAAAAAAAAAAAATATTTTTTAGGACTTGTACAGTGCAATGATAATAGGATCAAAGAAGACGCCCTATGAGGATGCACCATTTTTCTTTGACATCCAGCTACCAAACGATTATCCTAAATCTCCTCCAGCATTCCATTATATCTCATTTTGTACTGATAGACTTAATCCAAATCTATATGACGATGGGAAAGTTTGTGTTAGTCTTTTAGGAACATGGGAAGGCAAGGTAAGTGCATAACTGTGGATTTAATTTACATCTTAATGTGTGAGTCTATCAGCCTGTTGCTGATTCAGGTGGGGGTAGGAGGTGCTCTCCATCCTCCTTCTTTTGAATGGGAAAAATGTAATTTTTGGCATAAAATAATAAAAAAATCGGTTTCACTACGCTCCTCATCTGTTTTGTTTTTTAGTTCAGTTATTTACTGTGTTTCTCTTTAACAGATATAGTTAAATAGGTTGAAAATATACATAAAACTAAAGATTGAGAGGAGGTTTAATCAGTTACATCTCATTGAAACATTATGAAATTACTAGTAATTATGAGTTAATCCTGACAACCATATGATAATAAAAAGAAAATTATGTTTTTTAAAGTAAGGTAGGATTTGAAAATGTTATTTAAACAGCCATTTCTCACTGATGTTTTTCCAGTGAAAAAAACATTGGATTTTCACAGAATCCTGAACATAGTCTTGTTAATAAAGTAAATGATTGTTTTATACTTGCAGGACACAGAAACTTGGACCAGTAATTCTAGTCTTCTACAAGTTTTAGTCTCAATTCAAGGTATGTCAAAATTATTGATTGAACTTAGTTCATGTAGGTTAATTTAGAAAATAATTCTTTCGTGCGATACTCTGTTCTCACATTTTAACATTATACATGTATTTAATATCTTTAAACAGAGCTGTAAAATATTGACAAATATAATGCCTATCTATGTTAGAATGAGCATAGAGCATTGCATATAAGAATTATTTTGATTCTAATATGATAATTAAGAACTTTTGTACTTCCAAGCTTACATAAAGGAACTGTTTGAAAGGCAGCCGTCTTGATTCGATGAAGCCAAAACTTAATAGAAAAACCAACAGCTTTATGATTAAAAATGAACATACTTTAAGAATGATTTTATTTAATTTTCCATTTAGAAACACCAACACCAACAAAAACATCAATTTTGATCTCTGGCATTGTTCAGAATATAACTGACGTTGCAATTTTAAATGTGACATCAATCACATACACCCTATGATCTATTGGAATCAGAACATTGCTCTGCTTACAAAGCGAAAGAAGAATGCCATTACAATTTAGATTTTGATCATATTCTGCATATTTGAAATGCACTAAAAAAACAGCCTTACCAGTAAATCATTGTTGAGCCAGGTGCATGAGCATGGTACATTTTAATCGATTTCTTGTTTATTTGTAGGATTGATTTTAGTGGACGAACCATACTATAATGAAGCAGGTTATGAAAAACATAGAGGTACCCAACAGGGAGCAGAAAACAGCAAAATGTACAATGAGATGGCAATTCTCAAATTAGTAGAGGTAAATACTAGGATTTGTATATCGTGCCAATATTATATCTGTTATTAGAACAAAACAGGACCCCTACATTATGGTCACTTTATACTACATTTTACACATTTACAATTTAGGAAATTCTGTTAGCTTTTAATTTTGTATTAACATCTCTGTGGTAAAACGAAGATATTAGACAACTGCAGCCCTATTGTAAATATTATACTTTCTGTAAGAATGTTCTTTGATTATAAAGAATATTTATTTTGATATTAAGTTAAAATAGATTAGCTCTGAAAATTGTCCCTACAGCTGTTGTCAACAGTCGTGAATCCACCAATCAATCAATTGTGTTTTCACAAGATTTGATGGAGAGAATTGCAATTTTTGTCTGCTTAGCTGTTTATGAATTGTATATTGCAAGTTATATTTTAATCAGTGGTATCTGATTGATTTGAATAAAAATATTTAGATTAAGAAAATATAAGGTCAAAAATAACCAAACAGCAAACAACATTTGCTGTAAAGTTCAAATAATTGTTACTTTGAAATTACTATATACTGGTTTGATTAGGAATTGATATCAGAATAATGTTGTGTTTATCATTCACAATGGGAAATACAGTTGACACTTGTTATCACAAAATTACTGTTATCTTACAATGAAATATCTGTCTCAATAGACAGATTTATATATATATATATATATAGGCCTGCCCCTATGTCCTGAACAACTTCTTTATCCTTTGTTTGATTCACTTCAAGCTTTGTAGAATAATTGATCATGATGTGCAAACTTTACCATGTGAATTTTTTTATTCTGTTTAGTTTTATATCCAGAGTTATGCCCCTTTCATAATAGAAATTTTTATTCTTTTCAAAAATGACTATGTCATTGCAACTCTTCCAACATGGTTTATTGTATCTTTATAAAACTTGTGTGGTGTGGATAAGATATTCCAGTCATTTGGGTTTTCTAGAGTAAAGCCCATTTAACTTAGAAAATTTTAGCTCTGTCCAGCTCCTACCTTGTCATCCCAACTCTTCAATGATGGTACATTATATCTATTAAACTTAGATTTATAGGTTTCATAATGAGTGAGAATTGGATATCGCTTGATATCAACTCGAGTAATTTAATTTCAATATAATAATAAATGAGCCTCCAGTGAGTTTATTATTAATATTTAAATTAAATAACCAGAGTTGATATTCAGTGACATCCAATCCTCACAAGATGTTAACCTATATCTCTCATAGTCAACACTCTCGTTGTGTGAATTAAAAATTCTGTGAATCGTTGATCTAGTCTTTTGCATATACCTGTATGACGTCATATGTCCTGTTCTGGCATCAAACTTTAACATCAGACTTTCAGGGACCTAATGAATAGCCAGTGAAAATGTTGAAATATGGTCTCACTATGCTGGATAAGCCAATCAAATTAACACAGTTTTCGTATCACTTTTTCGTATCACACTCCTTGCAGTGTGATACGGAAAAAACTCTTTATGCAAGAAATAGATAACAGGCCACAACCATAAGAGAATATGTTATCTCAGTATATGCAAATATGCATTCTTGACCCCAAAAAGTGCACACATGTTCATGTTCATGCCATGTATTTTTATTATGCCCCTGCCATCACTAAAGGGGGCATTAAGTGTTACCCTTGTTCGTCCGTATGTACTTCCCTACGTATGTCCAAAATTGGTTTCTGTTCTTTAACTTAAGTTTTGCCTCAACCAAATGTTATGAAACTTATACACAACACTAGTTACCAAAAAATACAGATAAAGATCAAATTTGGGTGGCATCACTTTTACCTTTCTCAAGTTATGCCCCTTTATAACGTTATACGCAAGTGGGGCATCATCTGTGTACCATGGACACATTCTCCATTTATTTCAAGTTGTATCTATATAGACCTTTCATCTGTAAAGTAATCAATGCACTTGCTCACTTGCAAGTGTGTTATAAATGGACATTTTATTTAACTATGTATATCTGATTACTTTCTGTCATTGATTTAATAACCATATTGCTAAATGCAGATAAAGTTGGGAACATAAAAATTTAAGAAAATGACATTGGTGATCAACCAATCAAAATCCAACATTCATTTATAAGGTGTAATTAACAAAATATTGGATTGCTATTTTGATGCATAATGTATATCTTCTATATATGTAAATCATTAATGGAGGTATTTGTGATTTGTATTTTAGAGCTTAACAAATATGATCAAGAATATTCCAGAAACTTTTAGAACAGAATGTGTTCATCATTTGATGAAGTTTGGACCCAGGTAAGTTCTTTGTTAAGTGCTGTAGAACAGACAATTAAAAGCTCCCACAATTTTTGAGTGAAGTTGAATTTTGAGGTCTAAGAAAACAGATTTTTTTATGTGGTTGTTGTTATCAAGGAAGGAACTTAAAGTAATTTCTTCAGTTCATACTTTAGATGAGAAAAGACATGGCAGCAATGGGGCAAGTCATTCCTTATATACTTATAACATAGTGTACCTTACTACACAACAAATGCTGTCCTTGATTTTAGAGGTAAAGGCTCCTCCTTCAAATCTTAAGTAGGAAATGGCATTGTGCACCTACAGTTTTGATGCCTAGTCTGCAACAAAAGTAGTGAAAAGCTAAAGGTTAGACTTGGCTTTAAACTGACAGGGTGTTGTAAACAATTGCTTATGACATCAGTATTTATAAATAGACTGAAATTTTTGGAAAAGTTTTGCTTTTTGGCAATATCTTTTAAGCCATATGTTGAATAATATTTTAATTAAATCAAGATGACTACTTTGAGGTCCTGCCCCCTAGGTCATGGTCCAGACACTTTCAATTAACAAGCAATTTTTAACGTTAAGTTTTCTGATTAAGTCAGTTTGATAGGAACTTCTTGTGATAGATCAATGATATTTTTTATAAAGTTGCATTACTATCAGAACATATAAGTTTGACGACTATTTCAATGTTAAGGTCTATACATCTCAGTTTGTAGACCGTTTTCAGGCCCTGCCCACTAGATCATGGTCCAGCAACTGAATTGATAAGCAATGTGGTCTTTTTCTGAATTTTATGCCGATAGGCGAGACATATCTCTGTTTATTTGAAATTAAGAGTTCTAGTGATATTGAGGTATTTTGAATTGATCCACATTTTGTCATGCTGTTTTGTTTTATAGCTAACTTTATGGTACAGGTTTTGCTTATTGTTGAAGGCCGTACCATCATCTGTAGTTGTATACATCCTTGTCCTTTGGTTCATGATGGATACTTGCTTATTGTTGAAGGCCGTACCATCATCTGTAGTTGTATACATCCTTGTCCTTTTGTTCATGATGGATACTTGCTTATTGTTGAAGGCCGTACCATCATCTGTAGTTGTATACATCCTTGTCCTTTTGTTCATGATGGATACTTGCTTATTGTTGAAGGCCGTACCATCATCTGTAGTTGTATACATCCTTGTCCTTTGGTTCATGATGGATACTTGCTTATTGTTGAAGGCCGTACCATCATCTGTAGTTGTATACATCCTTGTCCTTTTGTTCATGATGGATACTTGCTTATTGTTGAAGGCCGTACCATTATCTGTAGTTGTATACATCCTTGTCCTTTTGTTCATGATGGATACTTGCTTATTGTTGAAGGCCGTACCATCATCTGTAGTTGTATACATCCTTGTCCTTTTGTTCATAATGGATACTTGCTTATTGTTGAAGGCTGTACCGTCATCTGTAGTTGTATACATCCTTGTCCTTTTGTTCATGATGGATACTTGCTTGAATGGCAATCATACCATATCATCTTATTTTATATAACAAATAATTCTAATCCGACTGGCAACTTACAACTGATATATTGTTTATGCTTATTACTTTAGGATGATACAGAGATTCATCTATTGGAGTACAAACCCTGACCCAATGGGATTGTCTAGATCTTCAGTCAGTCAAGAAAATGGTCCAGTAGTACAAGGTACTTCAATCTTGAAGTCAGAAAAATCAACCCAGTTATCATCTGAATCATCAGAAAATTTGAGTTGTAAATCTGAATTAATTGACATGAAAACTGCTGCTGCTGCCAATGAAGAACAAGGTCAAATATCATCTTGTGGAGACAAGACAGCCAATCAGAAGCCAGTATTGTCAGATGTTACCAGTGCTAGTGCTAATACCAATCTTTCATCTTGTAATGACATGTGTACTGACTCAAGTCAGTTATTTAATGTGGAGTTTCCACTCTTTCCTTTGTCCCGAGGATTCTGTATAACGATGAACAAGAAACTGTCAACATTGAAATCAGTTTTGAATACAATGATTGAATCAGAGAGTAATCATTTATAACATTCAAATCAGTATTAGAATAAAAAAAAAGATTCAGTAAAAACTTAGATAATTTAGATAATAAAGCTGCTCAATTTTGACAGGGAAATGTTCCATTATGAACAGCATAGACAGGTTTTCATTGTGTACCTTAACTTTATAATAGCTGGTGCTTAATAGCATACAAACAGTATTTGTCAACCAGAAAAACATCGTGTACTATTTTGTTTTTTAACAAATAAATAACATTGCTTCTCCTAAAAATAAAACTTCCTATGCAAAGCTTTTTTATGGCATCAATTTTTAGAATGGGAGATATTTTTCTTCAAATTAATTATCCATGAACTATTGACCTTTGTGATGTATGCTGCATATTAATTATCAATGACATACTGACACTTGTGATAAATGTTGTACAATTTTTTAATTATTTAAGATATTATTATACGACCGCAAAAATTAAAAAATTTTTGGTCGTATATTGGTATGACGTTGGCGCGTCGTCGTCGTCGTCGTCTGGCGTCGTCCGGCGTCGTCCGAAGACACATTGGTTTTCGCACTCTAACTTTAGTTTAAGTGAATGGATCTCCATGAAATTTTACCATAAGGTTCAATACCACGAAAGGAAGGTTGGGATTGATTTTGGGGGTTATGGTACCAACAGTTAAGGAATTAGGGGCCAAAAAGGGGCCAAAAATAAGCATTTTTGTAACTTCCAGACAATAACTTGTGTGTAAGTGTATGGATCTCTCTGACATTGTACCACAAGGTTCCATATCACAAAGAGAAGGCTGTAATTGATTTTGGGGATAATTGCCTCAAAATTTTAGGAATTAGGGGCCAAAAAAGGGGCAAAAACAAGCATTTTTCTAGTTTCATGACAATAACTTATGTGTAAGTGTTTGGATATTTCTGAAATTGTACTACAAGGTTCCATATCACAAAGGGAAAGCTGGAATTGAGTTTGGGGGTAATTGCCTGAAACATTTAGGAATTGGGGGCCAAAAAGGGGCCAAAAATAAGCATTTTTCTAGTTTCCAGACAATAACTTGTGTTCAAGTGTATGGATCTCTCTGAAATTGTACTGCAAGGTACCATACCACAAAGGGAAGGCTGGGATTGAGTTAAGGGGGTTCAAAAAATTTGGGGGGGGAGGGATTTTTCTTTTTTTCCTTTTTTTTTTTCTTTTAAAATTTTCCATTTTAAGTTGGTTATTTCTGATTTATATTTAAAAGCATATAATAATGATATGGTAGGAGATACACACCAAACAGGATGTGTAAATTATTATATAATAAGTATTGTGCAATAGCAAGAAATTTTCAATTGCACAGTATTGCACAATAGCAAGAAATCTTCAATTGCACAGTATTGCGCAATAGCAAGAAATCTTCAATTGCACAGTATTGCGCAATAGCAAGAAATATCCAAATAGCACAATATTGCGCAATAGCAAGAAATTGTCAATTGTACAGTATTGCGCAATAGCAAGAAATATTCAATTGCACAGTATTGTGCAAAAGAAGATACTTCGTATAAATTGCATATTTCTTGATCAATTTCAATCTTGAATTCTTGGGGTTCTTTAATATGCTGAATCTAACCGTGTATTAAGTTTTTGGATTTTGGGCCCCGTTTTTAAATTGGTCCACATTGAAGTCCAAAGGGTCCAAAATTAAACTTTGTTTGATTTCATCAAAAATTGAATTATTGGGGTTCCTTGATATGCCGAATCTAACCGTGTATTTAGATTCTTAATTTTTGGTTCCGTTTTCAAATTGATCTACATTAAGGTCCAAAGGGTCCAAAATTAAACTTAGTTTGATTTTAACAAAAATTGAATTTTTAGGGTTCTTAGATTTGCTGAATCTAAACATGTATTTAGATTTTTGATTATGGGCCCAGTTTTCAAGTTGGTCCAAATCTGGTCCAAAATTAAACTTTGTTTGATTTCAACAAAAATTGAATATATGGGGTTCTTTGATATGCTGAATCTAACCATGTATTTAGATTTTTGATTTTTTGGCCCCACTATCAACTTTGTCCACATTGAGGTCAAAAGGGTCCAAAATTAAACTTTGTTTGATTTCATCAAAAATTGAATTCTTGGGGTTCTTTGATATGCTGAATCTAACCATGTATTTAGATTTTGGATATTGGACCATAATAGGTGAATGTCCAATTTAAAATTTTTAAGTTCTTAGACCACATTCATTCTGTGTCAGAAACCTATGCTGTGTCAAATATTTAATCACAATCCAAATTCAGAGCTGTATCAAGCTTGAATGTTGTGTCCATACTTGCCCCAACTGTTCAGGGTTCGACCTCTGTGGTGGTATCAAGCTGCGCCCTGCGGAGCATTTTATTTATCTTTACAATCGACTTGTACTTATTTTCTTCTATTGAAGGTTTTGAAAATGATGTTTGAAGAATACTAAATTCAAACTCTATTTAAAATTTAAAACATTCAAATGATATAATTGATCTATATTTATTTGTGTCTTTGGTAATAAGATTAATGGATAATGAAATGTTTATCTTGATAAATAAATTATGGCAGATATCTATAATACAAATTATATGCATGTAAACTTTTGGTAAATAAATTTTATATGATGAGTTTCACTACTTCAGAATATTTTCAGGCTCAGTATTGATGGAAATTATTATAATAATTATAGTAAAATAACAAAAAAATTGATTATTGCAAAAACATATAAAATTCAAACATGTGGTATTTAAATTTGATTCATTTTCTTTTTGGAAAAAAACCCATTATCATGTGGTGTTTTATTCTGAAAAAAAAACCCCATTATTCTGTGATATTAATATATTTATTGTTGTGTTTTTGTGTTGTGTTCATGTATCACATGCATTTAAATTCTAACATTATCATGTTTGTCCATTGTTCATTTATCACATCAATTAAAAGCACTCAATAATTTATGAATTTACATGTACAGAAATAACACATGTTATTAAATGTTAAAAGGACAAATCAAATTACTGTACTTTGCTTTTGACTTTATAGGTTAAGTACCAAGTTGTTTTTTTCGGAAGCACTTTAGCTTAGTAATTTTCCTCTTTAGGTTACCAGACTCAAAGAGACATACATCCATTTTCCAATGTGAAATTTTCATATTTTCCACTCATAAAGATATTAATATTGCAGAATTACAATTGCTGCAGTATATATAAAATTTGACATATATAAACTAGTTAACTGAATTTGTAAATGCAAAACCTAGTTTTGTCATTTATCAGCGGAATTTTGAAATTGTTTTTTTTTTTATGACCTGAAGATTTTACCATGTTAGTAATTAAGTAGCCTGTTTAAACTATCAGACATATCTAACATATTACATATACTACAGCAGATTGTAACTCAGTGAAATTAATATCTTTTAGTTCATTTTATCCACTGACAAATTGCTTTCTAAAGAGCTGCAGTAATTGCAACTGTTTGCAATTGTGGTATATCATGTTTTTTTGGGGGGTCTAAACCATATCTCTTAAAATATATTTGAAATTATTCAAACTACTCTTCCAATCTTTTCACTAGTGATTTCGATCACTTTAATTTATTTTAGACTCAAATCTGCTGCCTCATGGCACTAATGGAGCTTTGATTTAGAATTCTGACCATATAACTCTTGAAATTGCAGTTTGTCTAGTTATCAATTATCACATAAATCAAGATGCTCACTAATTCAAAGAAGGTGTTAAAATCATCTAAAACACATGTGCAGTTAATGTCAAAAGGTTAAAAGTATAATGTAAATCTGAACTTAGTTCAGTAGAAACCAATAATATATGAAACCTATTTGATAATTTTGAAACCTATGTTTAGTTGAAAAAGTATTTGATCACGATTAGAAATTTTCAATCCTATTGTTAGTTATTCTCTTTCTTAGAGAAATAATCAGACCAGTTTAAAGAATAAAACAGTTTAAAGTTAAGGTAATTGTTTTGTTTTATATATTTTTGTTTCAGAAAACCAATTGAGAGAAAACCAGACAACCTTAACAAACATATTTGATGACACCTTACTTTTATAGTATAAGAAACATTGTTTACATCACAAGTTCTAAATTAGTCTACCTACCCCATACAATGATAGTGTGACTTATTATAAGGGGAATAGACTATAATAAAATGTATGATGTAAATGAGATTTCAACAACTGGAATGTGATGTCAGCAAAGACCTTTGGTGAAGTTCATTGGTTTTCTCTAAATAAGTTTATAATACAAAAACATATAAAGCAAATCTATACCTATATTACTTTAACTGTTTATTTCAGGTGCTGATTTTTTATATTCATCATGAGCTATGCATTGTTTGTAACCTTATTTTATACTGAAGGTTTTAAGGTTACCAGCAGGACATGCATACATGTATTAACATTTAGTCCATATGTGTTACAAAATAAATTTTGACAGAAATACGTTAAACCAGAAACACATTTTGTCGAAGAGTAGCTTTGAAGAATACAGTATGAATATTTTGATGCTGATTGCTTTCTACATTCACTAGAATTGCCCAACATCACAAAAATGTTTCATACTTTGTAGGAGTGTATGTCACCATTTTCTGTTGACCATTTATCATTTTGATTAGACAAATTTTACAGGAGTATTGGGACTTTGACGCTTTTTTTTTTTAACTATTATCATTTTGATTAGACAAATTTTATGGGAGTATTGGGACTTTGACTCTATTGTAACAGAATGACACCCTATGAAAGGCAGACTCCTCTGAGACGATTTTACAGAAAGCTTTCATAGTAAGTAGGATTGTTTATCATCATATGTAGTGGATTATACTTTACAGTTATTTTGATTTGAAAGTGTTTGCTAGTGTTATGGGATTTATACTATTCTTAGACTGTTGAGCCTGCCCACAGCTTTTGACCACTAATCTTCTGAAAACATATTATAAGTAGGCTTGTTGATAATTTTGTGAAAGCTAGACAAAATATAAGTATATATACATTTTGAAATGTTATTCCAAAAGCAAGTTTCAACTTCAGAGCATGGCTATATCAGTTTGAGCTGTGATTTCTATAAGGCTAGTTGATGTTTACCTATATCGCTATAAACTAAACGATAAATTAAGTGTGAATTGACATTATTTTGTGTGGCTTAGTATATATAGTTTGTGATAAAAATATGGATAACAATAATTGAGAAATAAACAATGGAAGATCACTGCTTAGTCAAATTAAACATATACATGTGGGTATATATAACAGTTGAATAGTTGTCAATCTCATATGACAAAGTATAAGGTTATAAACAGACATGTTAAGGCAAGGTTGTGCAGGTCTTTTTATTTAAATTCTATGCATATTATTTGGTAAAAGGAGATATTTTCTGAATATAATTTATGATTAAAATTATGCTTTTATATTTCAACATTTGTAGTTTGTTGGGAAAAAAAAGAATTCAGGTGTGATTGGTTAAAATTAGATATTTTGTCAGGATTTTGTAATGGGTTTCTACAAGATGTACAGTTTTGAGAATTGAAAGTGAAATGATGAATTGTCAGTTTGTTTGATTTCATATGTGAAATGTCTGCTTATTGAGTGTTGTTTTCATGTATGCCTAAGACTAGATAGTGTGAGCATTACATTCTTAATGATATTTATCTTTACTGTAGAATTATACTGACAAATAATTGTTTAAGATTATTGATATCATAAATGTTTTACATATTTATCAAATTCTGTGATGATTTGTATGTTCAGTATAAGGAGATCATACATTTTGGGAGAAGGTAATGATGGAAATAAAATTGAGGCTTATTAGATTACTTATTGTTTAAATGCTGATTTAATTTATACTTTAATGTAGAGTGACTTAAATATTGTATGAAAAAAAACCTCATCAAGGATATCATCCTTATAATTGGATAAGTCAGATGATCATATGTCTAACCATTATTGCAAATTAAATAGAGCCTCAGAATGAAAAAGGTCGTTAAAATTTGAAGAGAGCAGATTTTAGGTTTTTATACGACCGCAAAAATTAAAAATTTTTTGGTCGTATATTGGTATGACGTTGGCGTCGTCGTCGTCGTCGTCCGGCGTCGTCCGAAGACACATTGGTTTTCGCACTCTAACTTTAGTTTAAGTGAATGGATCTCCATGAAATTTCACCATAAGGTTCAATACCACGAAAGGAAGGTTGGGATTGATTTTGGGGGTTATGGTACCAACAGTTAAGGAATTAGGGGCCAAAAAGGGGCCAAAAATAAGCATTTTTGTAACTTTCAGACAATAACTTGTGTGTAAGTGTATGGATCTCTCTGACATTGTACCACAAGGTTCCATATCACAAAGGGAAGGCTGTAATTGATTTTGGGGGTAATTGCCTCAAAATTTTAGGAATTAGGGGCCAAAAAAGGGGCAAAAAACAAGCATTTTTCTAGTTTCATGACAATAACTTGTGTGTAAGTGTTTGGATATTTCTGAAATTGTACTACAAGGTTCCATATCACAAAGGGAAAGCTGGAATTGAGTTTGGGGGTAATTGCCCTAAACGTTTAGGAATTGGGGGCCAAAAAGGGGCCAAAAATAAGCATTTTTCTAGTTTCCAGACAATAACTTGTGTTCAAGTGTATGGATCTCTCTGAAATTGTACTGCAAGGTACCATACCACAAAGGGAAGGCTGGGATTGAGTTTGGGGGTGATGAATCATAAGGGGGTTCAAAAAATTTGGGGGGGGGGGATTTTTTTTTTTTTTTTTTTCTTTCTTTTTTTCCTTTTTTTCTTTTAAAATTTTCCATTTTAAGTTGGTTATTTCTGATTTATATTTAAAAGCAAATAATAATGATATGGTAGGAGATACACACCAAACAGGATGTGTAAATTATTATATAATAAGTATTGTGCAATAGCAAGAAATTTTCAATTGCACAGTATTGCACAATAGCAAGAAATCTTCAATTGCGCAGTATTGCGCAATAGCAAGAAATCTTCAATTGCACAGTATTGCGCAATAGCAAGAAATATCCAATAGCACAATATTGCGCAATAGCAAGAAATTGTCAATTGTACAGTATTGCGCAATAGCAAGAAATATTCAATTGCACAGTATTGTGCAAAAGAAGATACTTCGTATAAATTGCTTATTTCTTGATCAATTTCAATGGGGTTTTATTCTTGAATTCTTGGGGTTCTTTAATATGCTGAATCTAACCGTGTATTAAGTTTTTGGATTTTGGGCCCCGTTTTTAAATTGGTCCACATTGAGGTCCAAAGGGTCCAAAATTTAACTTTGTTTGATTTCATCAAAAATTGAATTATTGGGGTTCTTTGATATGCCGAATCTAACCGTGTATTTAGATTTTTAATTTTGGGTCCCGTTTTTTAAATTGATCTACATTAAGGTCCAAAGGGTCCAAAATTAAACTTAGTTTGATTTTAACAAAAAATGAATTCTTGGGGTTCTTTGATATGCTGAATCTAAACATGTGTTTAGATTTTTGATTATGGGCCCAGTTTTCAAGTTGGTCCAAGTTGGGGTCCAAAATTAAACTTTGTTTGATTTCAACAAAAATTGAATATATGGGGTTCTTTGATATGCTGAATCTAAACATGTATTTAGATTTTAGATTTTTGGCCCAGTTTTCAAGTTGGTCCAAATTGGGGTCCAAAATTAAACTTTGTTTGATTTCAACAAAAATTGAATATATGGGGTTCTTTGATATGCTGAATCTTACCATGTATTTAGATTTTTTATTTGTGGGCCCGCTATCAAATTGGTTCATATTGAGGTCAAAAGGGTCCAAAATTAAACTTTGTTTGATTTCATCAAAAATTGAATTATTGGGGTTCTTTGATATGCCAAATCTAACCGTGTATTTAGATTTTTAATTTTGGGTCCTGTTTTTTAAATTGGTCTACATTAAGGTCCAAAGGGTCCAAAATTAAACTTAGTTTGATTTTAACAAAAATTGATTTTTTGGGGTTCTTTGATATGCTGAATCTAAACATGTGTTTAGATTTTTGATTATGGGACCCCTTTTCAAGTTGGTCCAAGATGGGGTCCAAAATTAAACTTTGTTTGATTTCAACAAAAATTGAATATATGGGGTTCTTTGATATGCTGAATCTAAACATGTATTTAGATTTTAGATTTTTGGCCCAGTTTTCAAGTTGGTCCAAATTGGGGTCCAAAATTAAACTTTGTTTGATTTCAACAAAAATTGAATATATGGGGTTCTTTGATATGCTGAATCTTACCATGTATTTAGATTTTTTATTTGTGGGCCCGCTATCAAATTGGTTCATATTGAGGTCAAAAGGGTCCAAAATTAAACTTTGTTTGATTTCATCAAAAATTGAATAATTGGGGTTCTTTGATATGCCAAATCTAACCGTGTTTTTAGATTTTTAATTTTGGGTCCCGTTTTTTAAATTTGTCTACATTAAGGTCCAAAGGGTCCAAAATTAAACTTAGTTTGATTTTAACAAAAATTGAATTCTTCGGGTACTTTGATATGCTGAATCTAAACATGTGTTTAGATTTTTGATTATGGGACCAGTTTTCAAGTTTGTCCAAGTTGGGGTCCAAAATTAAAATTTGTTTGATTTCAACAAAAATTGAATATATGGGGTTCTTTGATATGCTGAATCTAACCATGTATTTTGATTTTGGACATTGGACCATAATAGGTAAATTAAAAAAATTGAAGTTCTTAGACCACATTCTTTCTGTGTCAGAAACCTATGCTGTGTCAAATATTTAATCACAATCCAAATTCAGAGCTGTATCAAGCTTGAATGTTGTGTCCATACTTGCCCCAACTGTTCAGGGTTCGACCTCTGCGGTCGTATCAAGCCGCGCCCAGCGAAGCATTTTATTTCATAATGAGACAGAGGATTGGTAAACACATATGAATATACAATAACTAACTTAAGCTCGCATGTTAGTATAAATATAAAATCCATAATACCTAATAAAAAACTCAACACTTTATCCTGACATTTTTTTATAAATTGGATTTTTTTTTATGCCCCCGCCATAGAGGAGGGTGCATTAAGATTTACCCTTGTACATCTGTCCGTCTGTACGTACGTCCGTACGTCTCAAAGTTGGTTTCCGTTCTCTAACTATAGTTTTCCTCAACAAAATGTTATGAAACTTATACACAATGCTTATTACCACAAAACACAGATCAAGTTTGAATTTTGGTGGCGTCACTTTAACCGTTATAGAGTTATGCCCCTTTACAAATGGAAAAACTGCTGAAATATTTGTTTCCGTTCTCGCACTTAAGTTTGCCTCAACCAAATTTTATATGATATGCAAGCAGGGGCATCATCTGTGTCCCATGGACACATTCCCCATTTTTTTTTTTTTTTTTTTTTTTTTTTTAGTTTTGACCTTCTACTTACCTCCTTGATGGTGCTCAAACTGAAAACAACGCAGGAGCGCAGTTTTTCCTGTTTGGAATTGTTATGTGCACATATCATCAATTTATAATTGGCAATAAGCATAAACAGACGTTAAAGGGGAGCTCACACGTATTCTGTTTTATTTGTATTCATTACACCTTTGTAAGAATTATCACTCACTGTTGTTTATACTTTCAAAGATTATTGGGGTACAACTGTTTGCAGTAAATGCAGATTGTAAGTTAAATTACAAATCAATGTTCCAGGTACTTTACTTTTGATTTGAACTACCAGGATTCCCCTCCTTGTTGACCTTCTATACTGAAATTGAGTTGATGATTGGTATATATTTGTATAATTGATGGTCACAGATTACATACACGTCTCTTACAAGTGTTGTATTGATGTCCATACTTTTGACATAATTCAAGTAATTTGACATGTTTGGTTATTAAGTGTATTTGTTGTTTTCATATGGTGTATGAATATGTTGATTATGTTAGCACGCCAGATTTTAGAATAACAAATCCAGCACAGAATTTAGAATTTAAGGCATTTGATAAATCCACAGATGTGTAAATGACTTGCAGACTTAATACATAACTTCTAACAGGTAAATGATTCTGTACATTATAAACAAAGTAGCAAGAAACATTTTTCCGTCTTTCCTGGATGAAGTCGAAAAGCGAGACTTAGGCATGCTATTTCCGGCGGTGGTGGCATCAACAATGATTTAGTTTGTGATTATTTCATTTTATATTTTGTATGCAGTTTTGTTAGCATTGGCACAATTTATTAACATGGAGATAATTTGGCCTTGCCCTCCCAGTCATGGTCTATTAACTTTGTTAAGATGTTAAGATTTGTGATTAGGTAAGTTTAAGGAGAACAATATTGATAGGTCAAACTTATTTGGTATGCAGTTGTGTTAGCATTGGCATAACCCATTTCCATTGAGATTATTAGGCGCCACCCTTCAGTCATGATTCAATAACTTTGATATACAAAATTTCAATTCTGGTATCTATGATGAGTTTATTTGAAACTTTTGCATAGTTTGCATAGTTTACTAGTTAAAGTATTGCCTTTTTAATTTCAATATTTACATTATACTGTCAAAATTACACAAAGGTTAGACATGTCACTGTGTCAACAGTTTAACATTTTACCAGTCTCTGATAAATCAAATTCATGTTTAAGTCACAAGTATCACAAGATACACTTTTTTGTCTGAAGTTTGAGAACTGCAAGATATGTTTTCTGTAATTTTAATATAACTTTTTGAACTAGTCAACAGTAAACACAATAAAAGTTCAACTTTTTACAACTGATGCGGTGAATTTGCAAACCTGTGTTGTCAGCTCAAACATAAGGAACTATTTTCAAGTATAAATTCATAATT